TTTCAAACCACGCGAACTGTGGTTAGCCACTTCAACGAACTGGTAATAAAAAGAATTAAACTCACGATTCATGGTGAAATTTCACCACAGTTGGAAACTGTTGAAAACACATGTATATAGTCACCAGTTCACCCAAGTGTAGCTAGCGATTATTTGGTTGGTTTGAAATGATTCTACTCTTCTGAGCTGAATTATACTGGATACAGCCGCCGACAAACTCAGTCCAAAAAGATCGGAACAGCTGTCTGGTATTTAGACCACTCAGCTCCAACACTAGCAGACTCTACTGCTTGACGTGAGTGGTTTCCAATAATTCATATCAATCAATCATTAGTGCATACCATTATGCATTCATATAAGAATAAAACTTGTGCACTGTGGTAGAGTGTAATTCCATAATGGGTAAATTTTGTTTTGATAAAGTCTCACAGTGTTATACAGTAATGTTGACTGATGACGTTTCGAGCACAATTTATTGCTCATAATCATATCACCTTGATGGAATTATACATTCCTACCTGATTTCTTGATAGACATTGACGGTATCGAACTGATCGCATATCACATGATCTGAATCATTACGGTAACCAAGGTAACCGTATTGAAACTGTATAATGTGCGAATTGCGAAATTCGACTAAGTAGACACTCTAACTTTTTTGCTACGTCATATACAATTGACAGAGCAGAACATTTGACAATAAAGTGATTTGCTAACTAAATTCAGATGACCTTTAACCTTTTATACATCACTATTACTTACGTTTTAACAAGAATAATTATAAAATCAGATGAAGGAGTAACTGAAAATAACCTTTCTTTTTTTTTAATTTCATGTAATTCGCAATTTGAAAATCGATGACAATAAAATATAGCTAAAGGTGACAACAATAACAAGAAAAGTGAAAACATGTATGCATCTCAGTGTATCAGAGTTTTAAGTACAATTACCAACGTGCATGACTGGCTATCTTCACCAATTCACTATGAAATAAAGAGTATGCAGTTCGAAACCTTCTTAGATTAATTTTCATGAAGGCGTGCTATTTCAGTTGGATGATTTATTGGCAAAGGTTATTCCGTATTAAAGGAGAACTCATATATGTGAATAACTTCGGCAAGGTGGTACTAAATAATTCCATATACGTAAGTTTAAAAGATGTGTTACAGTGAAAAAGTATTCTTTACTGGATGATGTTTCGAACAAAATTTATTGTTCATTATCATGTCAATTGTAATCACATGACTTTGAAACTTGAGTTTTATAGTTCTCTTCGTTCTCTCCTATTTGTCGTCATTGGAGTAGTAGAATTTTCCAGATATCTGGGACAGCTGTTGAATCATTCCCATTACACGTATTTGCAGTTGATTCGATAAACAAAGCTTCTGTCATCAATCTCTCCCTCCCTGTTACCCTGTTACATTAGATTTTAAAACTGTCATCTCATCTTATCCATCCTATTGCATGGTTGTGTGTAACTGCATATGGTGTAGTGCTATAGCTGAACAATTCTCTAGATTTCTTATCTTATTCGGGTCAACTCATCTAGATTTTGCTAGGTTTTTATGTTCAGCTAGTCTGACTGCCCCTGTTCTACAAGTTTGTATTTGTATGTATTTGACTTGATAATCATTGCAGGGTATCAGATAAACTAAATTGTTTTGTTTCAAGGTTTCACAGGATCCTTTAACCGACAAGACTTGTTTCTAATTGAGTTTGTGGGTTTGAATGCCACTTTTATTCCTGCCTTGTTAGGAATTCTGTGTAAGGTTTCCGAGGTTCCTTCCTTGCACGGAATTAATACTGATGATTTAGATTCTTTATTGTTGGTGTCGTCATTAATATTATTAATATATTATGAATAAGAATATGTACTCTTTTGATGTAAACTCGTTATTCGCTAATATGCCTTTGCTCAAAACAGTTGACATTTTGTGTGATTACATTTCCACAAACAATTTTTTCATCCCGTTTCCTATATCTTATTTAAGGGATTCATTACTTCTATGTACTTCCAATGTTAGGTTTACATATGAAGGTGATTGTTTCCACCAAGTTGATAGTGTTGCTATGGGAAGTCCGTTAGGGCCCCTTTTAGCAGATATCTATATGTCGTACATTGAGAATTTATCGGAGAATTTAATCGAAAATGTGCCACTTAATAGAAGGTATGTAGATGATATTGTAATCATAAGTGATAAGTCTTGTTCTGCCACCTCAATTTTAAATCGAATGAATGAAGTTCAGAATAGCATATCACTTACATCTGTAAAAGAGAAAGATAATTGTTTATCTTTCCTAGACATATTGCTTAGTCGACGGCTTGATGGGTCAATAAAAAGATCTATTTATAGAAAACCTACCTGGACAGAACAGTATCTTAATAACCACAGCTTCTGCCCTGTTCGTGTACACCAAGCAACCCTATATGGGGCATCATAGCAGCTTGATAACTAGACAAAGATTGAACGCTGCTGTTAAAAAAACTTTAATGCAGCTAATATCATAATAATTGAGAATGTGAAGCCAATATATCTATCTAAGCCCTTCGAACATGCGAAAAGTGATGTCACATTTCACTGTATTTACCAATTTGAATGTACGTGTGAAAACACATACATACGGAGGACTCATCGATCTCTGCAAGTAAGGGCTTCAGAGTATATTCCTGAATGACTCCAGAAACAAATAGAATCTTCAGAACCCATCAATGGTGAGAACAGGAGACCTAGCTCCTCTATTGCGAAACACATTATAGAGACAGGACATAAAATTGACGTTAACAGATCTTTTAAACCTATCTATAAAAGGTGTTTGGGGGAGGGCATATCCTAAAGTTTGTGGAAGCCATAGCTGTCAATTAGGAACTTTAGACCACCTTCATGCGTTCAAAAACAATTCGTCATCACATTAAACCTCCCTTGGTAAATTTTGTTTTGATACCATAGCAGATGTACTATTACCTCTGCTATTTGGTTTAGTGGTCTTCATTGTCATTTTGACCTTGAATATGTCCTTTTAACTTAACCTAAGTAGTCTATTTTCTCACCTCTTAACTCTTTATTAACTTCGTATATATTCCTATGACAAGTCCGTGTGTGATCGGATTGTTCGAAATGTGTTGCGCAAATACATTACACGATTCAGACAAATTACGTCTTCTTGTTGCTTTGTCTAAACTCATAAAGGGAACTGATTGTTTTAAAAATAATGATAATATTAATGACGATATGCATGTCAAGTATGCGCAAGACTACACCAACAATAGGGAATTTAAAACCTTACACAGAATTCCTAACAAGGCAGGAATAAAAGTGGCATTCAAACCCACAAACTCAATTAGAAACAAGTCTTGTCGGTTAAAGGATCCTGTGGTGCCTTGAAACAAAACAATTTAGTTTATCTGATACCCTGCAATGATTATCAAGTCAAATACATACAAATACAAACTTGTAGAACAGGGGCAGTCAGACTAGCTGAACATAAAAACCTAGCAAAATCTAGATGAGTTGACCCGAATAAGATAAGAAATCTAGAGAATTGTTCAGCTATAGTGCTACACCATATGCAGTTACACACAACCATACACTAGGATGGGATAAGATGACAGTTTTAAAATCTAACGTAACGGAATGGAAGGAGAAAGTGAGGGATAACGGAAGCCTTGTTTGTCGAATCAACTGCAAATACGTGTAATGGGAATGATTCAACAGCTGTCCCAGATATCTGGAAAATTCTACTACCCCAATGACGACAAATAGGAGAGAACGAAGAGAACTATAAAACTCAAGTTTCAAAGTCGTGTGATTATAATTGACATGATTATGAACAATAAATTTTGTTCGAAGAGTCATCCAGTAAATAATACTGTTTCACTGTGTGATACATCTAATAAGCAAACTTATATGAAACGGGTATTGGAAATGTGTAATGGATTTATAGACTTATTATCACATTACTAGGATTATTACTTGATTTCTAGTGCAAAGTAGTACTTGTTAGCATATTCCCACTTCATTGTGTTCTTTGCAAACTTCTTCAGCTCATTCCACGATATCCAATAAGCTTTTGTCTCCTTCATGTTACCCTCAGACCCGAGTCCAACACGTCATTCTGCGATTGGGCTCCATTCTAGAATCTACCTGGAGCATGATGTCGTTCAACAGTCTCCTCACTGTGTGAATGTGTATGTCCTGTCTATCTTCACTTACTTCTGTGTATTTGTTAGGCGATAGGTTCTTGGTTGCTTTGTTGTCGGAGTTCCCCGTTGCGTATAGTTTCCGATCGCCTAATTTTCAGGATAGAGCTAAGGTGTGTTTTAGGTGTTGATGCAAGTCTACAACCAGTTGGAAATGATTTTCGTGGCGCATGCACGCACGCACCAAGTCTCTAAAACATATGAAAGAAATGACTGACTTGACATTACTGTTGAAAATTCGGATCTTGTTCCTAATGCGCAGTTTAGCAGATTTCCGCATTGATTTCAGATTAATGAAAGTTTGTCTGGTGCAGCGATACAGTAATTTCCACTAAAATGCATCAGTTCAAGTTATTACAACTTGAAATATCCTGTTAACACCATACAACTAGTCTAATTGTTACTAACGATATTGCTCCACATAACGGAATATGACGGATGGTACCTGTAGTCACGAAACTTCATTGGACTTCACAGGTACCAACACTCCCCCAAACGTCTAGATCTGATTCACTTCCCAGTCACTCAAATTACCCTTACGTTCGACTTCTGGCATTGACGAGCATCATGATAGCTATCAAGATCACCAGACAATGTCTGTTCTCAAGCCAAAATTTGTGTGGTCATGGGTGCGTACTATTGGAAAGTCTTAAACAAGGAATAAACAGGCGTCCAGTAACCCCTGAATGGTTTTTAATGGTTATCCAAATGAAGTCAATTTGTGATCAAACTTTGAAATAGACTCTATCATAGCAAAACTCTACCAACAAAATGAGGGTAAATTATTTCTTGTTAAACATACCTGCGTGGTGTAAACTGTAGAAAGGCACGTTTCAATTTCCCACGTGCACTTGGTATATTACGAATAGAATCCCATTTGTAATCACGCATTTCTAACCATCGACATAACCACATACCACATTGTATGCCTAGACCATTACAGACTAATACATCCAGTATAAGACTATCCCACCAACATTCACTAAAATTTGGCAGAATATGCGAGAAAGCAACCTTAGAAAAAACAGAAAGAGAGAGAGGGATATAAATTAAATGAGCCAAAGATAATTCATTTCAATGATGAAAATGGAGGTAAATGTTCAACCGGCGAAAATTAACAGTAAAAAAAACCACTCATCTTTAAGGAATATTCAGAATACTATTATATAGATACCTCTGTTAGGTTGACGAAAACATATTGATTCTCTTGTCTGATAATCCATATTTCTAACCAGACCTCACAGCTGATTAAAAAGCAGACGAGAGTTTACAGAAGCAAGATAACTGACTTTCTTGTCATCTGAGGGAAATAACTTATTGCTCTGATGAATGTCTTAATGAAGAACTCAATGCTTTTAAACAGTTACTGAGTGAAAATGGTTACCCAAAGAAACCCATCAACAAGAATATGAATCAAGAATCAAGGCAAGCCAAAGCATCAACAGTTCCGAAAAAAACGCCTTCTTATTACAACTTCACTCACTCGGTGACAAAACCATTGAAATCATAACACAACGTCTAAGGAATGAGGTAAAACAAAGAGCATTCACTGACACTGAAACATGCTGTCTCTTCAAAACCATTCCTACTTTGCATTCAGGAGTTAAACAGAAACTACTTAGTCTCACTTCCTCTGTATGCATCTACCAATTTCACTGCTCCCACGTGGAGCCAGTTAAGTAGGATAGGGCGTACAATCAGGCATCTTTATCGTCGCATTTCTGAACTCCATCCCGTGTGGTTAAGTAAGAAACAAACAAAGCCCATTCATATTTCTCATCTCGTAGATACACAACACAAAATTGATGAAAAAAAAAAGGTGACTTTCAAAGTCATCTACCGTATACCAACTAATCTTAATTTCACCTCAAGAGTTCGCCTATCACATATTGATTAAGCTGTTCGAATCTACATTAAGAAGCCTAATCTATGCAACCAAAAGAAATTGCTTCAGACGCTTTCCTTACACACACACACACACACCGCGGTCATCAAGGTTTCAATGATCCTTAATTTGTTGTAGAGATTTTCTTGATTTTGATATTATAATTTGTGCTCGAAACGTCATCAGTTAATATTACTGTGTAACACTGTGTGATTTATCAAAATGAAATCTTATCTATAATGGAGTTACACTCTACCACAGTGCTCAAGTTTTATACTTATATCAAAAAAGGACTTCATTATGCTGACAACTGCTTTTACTCTAAATGCTACGTAAATGACTTTAATAGCATTTAGGACTGCCAGAAATAATCATTACAACAGTGCAGCTCGTCGAGTTATTGCTGTATTATAAGTAGTTGATAATCAGTCACATCAAACAGTGGCATAAATGAAATTTCGCCACCGTATGCATCGAAAATTAAAAAACTATTCAGAAAACAATATGCGATCCGCTTAACGCCATAAATGGTAATCAATAAAATGCACAACATAGCAAAGTGATATGTACTACTGATGGATAATGAGTAGTTCAGGAATACTTGCGCCAAATACAACTACTTGCCAGCCAAGTCACATATTTTCAAGTATTGGTTTGCAGGGATTTGACAGGTTACAGTTTTCCCTATAAGTTGCCATTAGTTAGAGGACCACATTAGAAATACCGGGGAGCACTGGGTATTTGTTTTGTCATAGTCTGGGACTCTTGAGCAATACGAAATCACCACCAGGGTTCGAACCCAGGACCTTCTGGTTACAAGACGAGCTTGCTGGTCATTCAGGGAACTGTGACCCAACCCGAGTTTTTGCATTGACGAGGATCACGATATATAGCGAGATCGACAGCCAGTGTCCTCACGGCCGAATTAGTGAAGTCATGGTTGCGTACTACTGAGGAGCCCCAAACTAGCACGAAACAGCTATCCAGTACTCCCTGGCTTGCCGATGCTTGTCTGACTGACGTCAGCTCATTATCAAACCTGAAACAAATCACATATCGTTTTCATCTCATCGGCTTTAGCATTTAACTTTCAGCCAGCAGGTAACAGGCTCGAGTGACAACTCCACCTACTTCAGTCTGGCTGCACCGATGAGTAGCATTACCAGCCCCGCCCTCATAAGATAAATGTGACTCTTAGTCTACTATATGAAATATCTGTTCCGCGTAATAGAGTTTAAACATACTGTTAGTAATTCGTAAATGACAAGTGACAGTCTAATCATCAGTCACTCAATCATAAATAACACACGTAGTAAGTTGCTAGCTGCTGACATTTAATTGGTAGACCGTCATACTAATCATCTGACAAAATTAACAATCACTGTCATATGATTAACATATAAGTGTAAGAGAAACCCAGTTTTCTTGTTAACTTACAACAGACGGAAAAAATAAATTCAGTCTAAAACGCTTGACTGAAGTTTTGTAAATAGAAGAGCCCTAGATGAAACATTATATATATATATATATATATATATATTATATATATATATATATAATATGCTGCGTCTTCTAGAGTTTCATTTTAGGCTACCGCCTCTGCATCCACTTATTTGATAATATGAATCCAATATTCTCACACTTAACTTATTCACTCTTATTTAAGCGAATGTATAAAAATATAACTGCCTTTCTAAAAGGTATTATAGTATTTACAGGTAAGAATAAAATTGAAGTTAGACTTCATCACGAATCGATAACGGTTAGAGAATCATTGAGTACCACCGAGTGAGTACCAGGGGGATAGCTTTATCGTCTGGGTTTGGAGCTATTCATCAGTTCACAGCCATGACCCCACACACTATGGACCTACAAGTTACAGGGCGAGCTCATCAACCACTCACTTCAATTTAAAGTGAGCTTTTAGATCTCTCCATGAGTTTATTAGTCATCTCTCCTGATGGTTGAACTTGAACGTCGTGACGGGTTGTCTCTGTGTGTTTACACATTCTCTAGGCTACTCGTATTGCTACTGATTGTCTCCTTGACATGAAGTTTGACCCCTTGTGTATGAGATTTTCTCCTTATCGATTGGTAAATTTTGTCTATGTCAATGTGTCTATTAATTCACGTTTCATTGGAATACCAGGCGACTTCCAAAAATTCCCTGGCATTCTTCATGCTCCCTCTGTCTAATATTTCAATATTGTCCCAGTCGAATTGATGTCCGTGGTTGTCTGTATGCTGCCATATGAGGGAGTGAATGTCATATCTTTTGACAGCTAGTTTATGTACGTGGAAACGAAGACAAAGACGACAGCCACTTTGGCCACTGTAGTGTTTTTTGCAGTGGTTGCAAGTGATTTTGTAGATGGTGTTGGTTTTATCTTCTTTCGCTTCTGAGTCTTCTGACTCACAAAGAGTTGAGTGAAGTGATTTTGTTGGTTTGTGTGCCACATTAATCCCTAAAGGTTTGAAGAGTCTTGCAGTGATTTCTGAGATGTCCTTTATACATGGTAGGGCGATTTTCTTTGTGTTTTTTCTTCGGGGGGCATTAATTTGGTAGGTTGGCCTGACAGTAGATGTCTTTTGATGAATTTCTTTGGATATCAATTCTTTTGGAAGACGTCCATGAGATATCTTTCTTCAATTTTCCTTAAGGTGAGAGTGCTGCAATGAGTCCTGGCCATCTTGAATAGTGTTTGTATACAACTCCTTTTGTGTGTTATTGGGTTGTTGCTGTTGTAATTGAGTGTGAGTTGGTTTTCTTTTCTTTTCGCTTGACTAAAACATCCAAAAAAGGGATTTTGTTCTCGGATTCATCTTCTTTTGTAAATTTGATGCCGTTGAAGACGCTGTTCATTAAGGTTGTGAGTTTTGTACAACTCGTTTCTTTTGATTATTACAAATGTGTCATCTACGTAACGTATCCAAATTTCGGGTTTGATCTTTGGTAGGATTATGTTTTGAAACCTATTATATCATCACTATTGGAAATTGAGTGATATTTTTTAATTTAATTTTTATTTCATCCCTTTTACGTTCCCAGTGGAACATAGGGCTTCAAGCTAGAGCTCTGAAGTTTCGGTAGCAGTAGTGTTTATTTTCACGGGATGGGATTGCTAGCCTCATGCCCAACCTCCCCTCTTTACCAGTGTCATTACTGGCTTAGTGGGATAGAGGAGTGCGTCGGCTGGGGATCGAACCCCGAACCACATACGCGGTTGGCGAGCCTTCTACCGCTGTGCCACCGACACACGATATTTAGAAAGCAATTATTTAATTCTTTTTACTTCTTAATATCTGATTGACTGTCACTGTCACATTGAATGAATCACTCACGAGTAATCCTTATATCCAGATATTAATGCAAAAAGCAAAACAAGTAGTTTAGCGAAAAGGCTCCTTTCGAGGAATTCATCATTAATGAAGCATTAGCCAGTCAGACAGAAAGAGAATTACTCAAACAATTTCTACTAACATGATAATTACTTTGTTGTCTTCTACTAGTTTTTATGTCCATCCTGACTACAGCTCATTCAATAAATTATGTATCTTATTGTGTAACCCGAACTGACTGATTGACTGACTGGTTTCAACGTAGAACTTTGCACCGATGTGCAGCAGTTCGAGTCGCCACAATTCACTTAGCACACAAAGCAAGAGAAGAAAGTAAAAGTAAAGTAACCCGAACACCTTCAAATGAACTGTCGTCAAGATTTGACAGAACAGTTCTAAAATATTTGGGCGCCGAGTGAGAAGTAGACATTTGCAAAAAATTATATTTGTAAAATCTCAGCGAGATCGAAATGAGTAATTCCAACGTTTCGTTCGGCAATCTGGTCCGAACTTCTTCAGGGAAATTAATCGAAATTAACATAACAGGGGTTTATATATAAAAGGAAAATCACTTGTTTTTAAAAACTTTGTCCAATCATGAGTCATTCAAAAAGTATCAACAAGTATAATAAACAATATTTTATGAGCTGTGGTCGAAATTTGACCTCGGACTTACAAATATTGGTCTACCTTTGTTAAATACTTTAAACAGAGTGTGTATGTGTGTGTGGGTAAACAGTTGTAAAACATTTCTTAACGTTTCCATAAGAAGAATTGGACAGTCGAGAACGTTGGAATTACTCATTTCAATCTCGCTGAGATTTTACAAATATAATTTTTTACAAATGTCTACTTCTCACTCGGCGCCCAAATATTTTAGAACTATTCTGTCAAATCTTGACGACAGTTCATTTGAATTATTTTGCAATCGAATTAAATTAACAAAGAAACTATGTAATTGGAACAATCATCGTGTTTTCACTCTCCGTTGTCTGCAACAGAATGCATATTCTAAATCCGTAGCTGTCGAGTCACCTGACAACTCCAGTAGGTCGAATAAAGCAGCTCAATCTTCAGAAAGAAGACAAAGCAATAAGTCCGACAGGGTGCTTCCACTAAACTCCAATCCTAAACACCATAATTTTGAAAATACGTCTAATCATAAAATTCTAGATACTAACAGTTTGAACTGACATGAAGGCGTGATGTTAGCTGATGCATAGGAAATCCTTATCAATAAATAAAAAATGGATATGCATCACTAATTATTAATACTTGGTCAAAATTCTCGACTGTCCATATATTCTTATGGAAACGTTAAGAAATGTCTTACAACTGTTTACCCACACACACATACACACTCTGTTTAAAGTATTTAACAAAGGTAGACCAATATTTGTAAGTCCGAGGTCAAATTTCGACCACAGCTCATAAAATATTGTTTATTATACTTGTTGATACTTTTTGAATGACTCATGATTGGACAAAGTTTTTAAAAACAAGTGATTTTCCTTTTATATATAAACCCCTGTTATGTTAATTTCGATTAATTTCCCTGAAGAAGTTCGGACCAGATTGCCGAACGAAACGTTGGAATTACTCATTTCGATCTGGCTGAGACTTTACAAATATAATTATTGACTAACCCGAACACCCTTATTCAACTCTGCTTATGCATGGAAATAATATTAACTACGATTATGACACAGATCATCAATTTCGTTAATATCCCCTTATGTGAAAAATAAATTGCATACAATTGCGATTGTACAGCTATAGATAATGATGAATTCACCGAAAATAGCATCTTCGTTGAATTGAATTATAATTATTAATTAAAACAAAACACGTAGATCAGCGAAGAGTCTTTTTTCGGCGGCGAATTCATTTTCTTAGCTGTACAATCGCAAATATATATGTGTTATTTTGTATGTGTGTGTACTGTAAGTTTATCAAACAAAAATACAGTTGGTTATAGTTATTTAAACTAAACAGGTGAAGATTGGTAACTGGAGTTACGTAATACAAAATCAGTCAAGAAAATTAGGTGTTAGTGAAATTAGGGTAGTAAAAAAGGTGATAAGTTGTCACAAACAGTTTCTAAAAAGGAGTTATGTAATAATATTAATAGTTTGATGAGTGAGTTCTACTCAGGATGCACACAGGAACAAAGTAGATAATACGAAATTAAGTAAGAGTTATAAATTAACACAAGAATTATAAGCAATTACGTAACTCCAATTACCAATCTTCACCTGTTTAGTTTAAATAACTATAACCAATTGTATTTTTGTTTGATAAACTTATTTTAAACATACATACAAAATAACACATATATATATATATTTGCGATTGTACAGCTAAGAAAATGAATTCGCCGGAAATAGACTCTTCGCTGATCTACGTGTTTTGTTTTCATTAATGCCTCGATGGGTATTATACATGAATTATTAAGGACTTGTTTGACACTTATATTCTTCTGACTGTGCAATTAATTAATTAATTAATTACTTCAGGTTAGACCACGGATTTTTATCAGTTTGAGAACCATTGGAAACCAACAAGGAGTACTGGACAACTGTTTCGTCCTACTTTGGGGTTCATCATCAGTACGCATCCCTGCCGGTGACTTACTACAGGACGGAGTTTCCTGGAGTTCTAGTGAGAAGTCGTGACTAGTGGGGTCTATCTATTAGGGAGTGAGAATAGATTTCCCACCAACGAAATTGGTTGGTGGTGGCGCTAAAATCAAGAATTGGTAGAAGTTAGAATTGATGGGCTGGCCATTGAATTGGGTCCCAGTGGCTGAATGGTGTATGAGCTTGCTTTGTAACCGGAAGGTCCTGGGTTCGAAACCCAGTGGGTGCGTATTATCGGTGAATCCGAAAATAGGGCGAGACAGCTATCCAGTACTCCCTGGTTTTCAATGGTTCTCTAATTGATACCAATCCGTTGTCTAACTTGAAAGAAATAAAATCCCTGCAAATTAATCCTTGAAAGATAATCAATGACTGTTTTTTAGTTCCATATCTTTTACGTCATTAGTACGAATGAATATAACTATATATACATAGTACTCTAGGATGTTCCTGACGATGCACCGAAATTAGCGTTAACGTCAAGAATTGCTAAGCTACTAGACAGTAATTATTGATCACTTTACTATTTACAAATCATAAAATTCGACGGTGAAATTCCACGACAACTTGCTTCAAATGATTACATAATGTTTTAAGGCTATTGACTGATATGAGTAGCACTTCGGAACCACAGTAGTGCTAGTCAGACGGATCAACGTGATCTACGACGCATCAGAAGGTTGTATCATTCCTTTGAGGCACAGATGATCAGTGAGGTGTACCCAGGCTGAATAAACTCATGGAAGTGAATCAGAAAATTAATTCCATAAGCCTTTTTCTACTAAAATTTCTCACAGTCACCGTACATACATACAAAGTGACTGTAACAGCTTAAAGTACCCTTGAATAGATTCACTATTAGTATGAAACAAACACACACATAAAAAGAAACACAAATAAATGTCGAATTTTTCACATGACATTATATATGTATATATATATATCCATTAATAATTCGCTCTTACCTCTGTTATCTCCCAATTAATTGATAAAGTCCAAGCAATTATATGATGTCTTAATAAAATCGCCTTGACAAGCCAACCAAAAAAGTGTGCTAATGCAAAAATATCCATATGAGAGTAAATTCGAGCCAATGATACCTTAATAAGCAAAAACATAATAATGACGACATATATATATATATATATAATTACGAATGTAATGTAAAAATAATACTTTCAGTCTAGTAAAGTGAGGTATTCTAGGATGACAATGAAACGTTCGCAAGTTAGATATCACTAACTGACATCAGTCAAAGAAGTACTGAAAGCTATCCACGGATAACTGGATGAATCTTTCGTTCTAACCTGGGGCTCAGCAGCAGTGCGCACCCACGATTCTATCAAAGAGGGACTGCAGACGACCTTCAGGTTATGCGGCCAAACTCTTGATCATTCAGCTATTGGGATGGAACCGATGAAGCTCAAGAATTCTAACTTCCGTACCACTGCCAGACAATGCATCATCAGCAAGTATCCGCCCTCACACCTGTACTATTGGAACCCAGCAGTCATGATATCGCTCTAAAACTCCTGGAGGTTCGTCCTGTACTAGGTTACTAATCAGTAGGCTAGATTAATTTTCAAATGTAGGTATTAAGTCATTCGATTGAATTCAAGTTACATAGCGAAACGACATTAGCTAGGGAACCACTGATGGCTGTTCAGGGGGATCATGAGTGTAAGTTACTGAGAAATCCAAACATAGGTCCGAAAGACCTGTCCAATACTCTTTAAATCAGTTTAATCCCCGGAAACTAACACTTGGAAATGAAATGTCTACTGGCCTAAATCTTCAACCCATAAGCTCGAATTTCTAAGGATCACTAATTCGGAGGTGGGGAAATGCGAAAATTCTTTCAAAGTTGTAAATGTGCCATTGATATAAGAATAAAACTTGTGCACTGTGGTAGAGTGTAATTCCATTATGGGTAAATTTTGTTTTGATTAAGTCTCACAGTGTTATACAGTAATGTTTAATGATGATGTTTCGAGCACACCTTGATATGATTATGAGCAATAAATTGTGTTCGAAACGTCATCAGTAAACATTACTGTATAACACTGAGACTTTATCAAAACAAAATTTACCCATAATTGTAAATGTGCCTTTTCCTAACAAGTACCAAGAAGAATGAAGCCAAGACCCAGGGAGTAGACAGTGACAACTTAGTAGTCATAATTAATGATACAAGGGAAAATAATAGGAGATTGGCAAGGAAAATAAACAAGGCGAAATACTGAAAATCGATGAACTTTTTCTGATTTGCTTCAACAGTCTGAATGCAATAAAAAACAAACGAGGAAGTAACATATGATGAATTGATTGTTATCGTTGTGAAATAATGAGATTTATGTAAATTTCTCGTAACAAGTGTGTAGAAAAGAACTGCGGATAAAAAGTCATCAAAAATTACAACAATTAAAATACTGACTAAGTATATATATATGTATTGATGAACAGGAACACATTTAAAAATTCCTTCCTTTGATGTACTAATTAACATATAGGGACACCTTGAAAACAACTAAATGAAAACACTGATTCACGAAACGAAAATTAGATTTATTTTCACATGAAAGAAAAGTAAACTAGGTTATCAGGAATTTAGTCATCAGAACGAATAACTCAGTGTGGTAACATCTCTGACTGTGTGTTACTAGGTGATGCGGATTCAACTCTCAGAGATTCTCCCCCACAAATGATAGCATCTATCTCTTAACGTGGTAGATGGGTTTACATATCGAAATGATCCTACGAGCTACACTGGCTGAGACGAATATTTCTGCAGGTCATAATACGCTAGAAAGGTCGGCTGGATAGGGGATTAAACTAAAAGTAATTGCCATCGTAGTTTAAGTTGTTCCACACTAAGCTGAGGGGGAGTCTGAGGGTGAAGTTGTGCAATTGGTGAATAAGGGTGTAACAACAATAAGGACGCCTGGTGAGCCATATATGCTCTCCCCTTCTCCACTCTCTGGAGAACGGGAGAGAGCCAGAAAAGGTCGATTTAGAAAAGAGTACATTACAGTTTGCTCTGAGATGCTCCACAGCTGGTGAAAAGGTTTTAACACGAAAACAACACCAAAAACCAGCTCAAACAAAGCCATGTGTGATCTGTCTTAGGCAGTTGTCCCCTGGACTATACGTTAATGCAACATTAATCTCCCTTCTGTTCCAGGTATTTGAAAAAGAAATCAACTTCTACTGTGTGGGAAGCCAGGAAATAATAGTCACTCATGTACTTTCAATATAGGCACACAAAACATTCTTGAATCTTAGAAGGGATATCATCACTTCCTACAAGCTTGCAGATGTATATATTCAGTGCTGACGAGTACCAATAAGCACGAAATTTAGGTCCAGGGTAACCTGGTGACTGCCTCCAAATATCCAACACCAATTCTAAATATATCTCTATCAATATACGTCCTAAATAATTGAAATAAAATTTTATGCAGAATGGATATACATTCGGTTTTCTTGAGCGGTAACACCTAGGAACTTATATGAAATTAAGAGATCAGTGTTTCAAATAATAACAACTACATATAAATTTAGAATTTAGGATTATTATTGGCAACTTTATTATTGTTACTATCCGTTCCCTGTATTCCGACTGGAGTGACATCTCTATTACATTCACTTCCCTACCATCATCTTCAACTGGCTCTTCTTCGTATGATCCAAGCCACTCTCTCACTCCCTACATAATTCTAGAACATGTGACCAAGAGTCTACGTTTCACAGGTTTAACACCACTTAACAACTCCATACTTCAACACCTGTCTGATACAGGACATCAGATCAACACAGCAGAAAGGTGGTGGACAGGCAAAGCGCCTCACGACTACTTCGAGATAGCTGAATCTATGACATGAATTGTGTCTGTGTGTATGCAGAAAGAGAATGTTACTAGCTTGATATGCACAACAGTCGAGTACTCTAATATTTTCGATAACCTCACCAATGAAATATACATTGGATTTAAGCAAAATCGATTACAAAAACAAAATCCATTATTAGTATTAATTATTTCACACGGTTACCTAATAGCTTTTACCATAAATTAAACAAATACACCAATAATGTCAAATTTTGTTCTTATTGCATATATTCATACTAATTTTAGTTTAGAACACTGCTGACTGATACAAATACTTAGAAACGATTCATATCGACAACTAGTGCTACCTAACCAGAATGAGGTTGGGGATGAAATCGTAAACGGTACCAAACTTCGGATCAGTCCACAGACCATCAATTCTAAGCAAAAATATACCCAAATTTTGTTTCAGGTAAGATCACGAACTGGCAACCCAGTGACCGAAAAATTGAGCTCTTAAATTAACTGGGATTCAAGTACACTTACTTATTAGGTTCCAAGAAGAATGAGAATTATGTATCAGAAACAAATGATACTGCGGATGAAATTTAAACCGATAGAAAGGTGTTTATGATGAAACCCATATACCAATGAAGGTGGTTGGTAAATACTATCGCCTAAGGCCAAAATTAAAAAGGTCAAAATAATAATTGACACCAACTGCACGAGAGATAGCTTACATCATCTGGCAGCTTGGACGACTATGCTTCTGCGTTTGACTGATAGAAGAAGGGGATGTGATGGTTATGAAAGCGTTGTGTGCTTATGGAAGGGTGTGAGAGGTCATTACTTCCCAGCAGCAAAGATAAACATACGCTGTGAGACGAATACACAGTCATCAACTCTCAAATAAGATGAAATATGGATGTTATATTGTACTAGCTGTCCCCACATTATGCAAACCAAATGATATATGACTCATTATGAGACAAAGAACGGCTGTGTTATAGGTAGATGAGTCACAAAAACAAATATAGTAAAGGAGAATGAAGTTGAATAGCAGAAATTACTTTTTAATTAGAAGAATAACTTTACGCGCAGAATTAGCATTACTACTCGAAAAAGAAAGCACTTATTAACTAACCTGACTACAGTTAACAGCATATTCCTTGTCAAGAATATCAGAATGACGCATATGCTTTAATTCAGGATAGACCCAAATTAAAATAGCACGAGCTTCATCCAAACGAAGAAATACAACAGCGACTAAACACAAAAAATATAATAAACTAGCGCCAAAAACAATTCTCCATATAGCAGGATGTGGTCGAGTAAAAGGACCTAGAATTAATTTAAAAGTACATCATTTATCTTGTTAGGCAAAAGTACATTTTATATTAGCATCACTTAAAATAGCTACTTAACTTCATATAATTTTGTAAAGGTAAATGAAATATCAACCTCGCCTAGTTAACTAGCTTTCTAGTTTTTTTAGCCGGTCCCAAGTCCGGGTAAAGAGGGAGGGTTGGACGTGGGACTAGCAACCCTACACTACTAAACCCATCAAACTGCTAGAGCAACTTCAACACACAGAAAATAAGTTAAAAAATGCAAAGAACGACCTTATTCTTCGCTGGAATCGGAAGGGCGAAATGACACAGCGGGCAGGTGAAAGCCAGCCCTCGGGGAAGCCAGTCAGCCAGCCGATGTGTCATCTTTCCATGAAAGCAAGAATAAGAATGGGGACGTGTAATGTCCGTACTATGTACGAGACTGGGAAGGCTGCCCAAGGAGCCAAAGATATGCGAGGATATGACGTACAAGTGCTGGGTATCTGCGAGAGCAGATGGAACGGATGTGGATTGTCCAAATGGTCAACTGGAGAGTCAGTAATCTATTCCAGTCACCCAAACGACAACCACGAGCACACTGAGGCAGAAAGCGGCTACAATGATATCACCAGTGGCAGCCAAAGCACTAATGCAATGGGAACCAATCTCCTCTTGAAGGATCACCACAGCAAGATTCAACTCAAAAGGAAAGAAGGTCACACTGGGAATACATCGAGGAGACCATCGAATGACATTGCGCGCTATGCCCTCGAGTGGAATCCAAATGGGAAGCGACGAGTGGGTTGTCAGTGCGAGGGTGACATGGAGGAGATCATGTGAGGAAGAGATGAGAGATTATGGGCAGTCGTGGAATCAGCTATAGAGAACGGTAGAAAATAGAACCAAGTGGAGATGTGTTGTTGAAGCCCTGTGTCCCACTCGGAATCAAAAGGTATAATAATAATAATAATAATAAATGAAATATCAGAACCAATTCTACTGTAGAGTAATTTTGTTTAGTACAGCCCAAAGTGATATGGCATCATTTTCACTAGATCTGATTTTTGAAACACTCTATGAAGCAAATAAACAATAACTTATCACCACATTAGCATTGTTTCAACCAAAGGAGGCACGTAAGAAGATGCCAAAGTCAACCAAAATAAGAGAGGCAAGCCACACCTTCATTAATCTGAAATCAGTAAGTTTGCATTGAAAGATACTTTTCAGTTAATAGTATCTTCATAACGCTGATATGAACAACAAAACCACGTTTTCCTTAGGCACTGATTCTGTATTTACCAGTGTGCCTCTGTTGCAGACGGTTTACATTTTATGTGACTACATCTCTAACAACAATTTCTTATTACCATCTCATTTGAAAGTCACTGCTTTTGTGTACTAAAAATGTTAAGTTTACATTTGAGGGCAAGCAGCATATCCACCAGATCGATGCTGTTGCTATGAGAAGCCCTTTAGGTTCATTGTTAGCTGATATATATGTCACCTGTTGAGAATTGAGCTGAGAACCTAATTGGAAAAGTTTATTTTTATAAGAGATACGTGGATGACATAATAGTCATTTCTGATAAACCGACAGATGCCGTAGAAATCCTTAACCAAATCAATTCAGTACAAAACAGCATATCCCTAACATACGTAAAAGAGAACGATTGCTTGCTATTTTTAGGTGTACTCATAACCCACCGACAAGATGGGTCTACAGAAAGTCTATTTGGACAGGACAATATCTAAATTAACACAGTTTCTGTCCAGTATAGTATAAAAAGGCATTGGTCAAGTGTTTGTTCAGATGCCGATACCATTGAAAAATAAACACAACACCTCATAGCAATATTTGTAGATAACTATCCGTTGAAATACGTTGAGCGTTACAGAAGTGTAAAACAAAGAGTTCTACAGATCCAGTCAGCTCCTAAAAAGGATGTTTATATATCCTTGTCATTCAGGGGTGATCAACAAAATCTGATCACTTAACAAGGACTCAAGGCGGCGTGTCCAAAAATTATTTCTTACTTTAAACCTACCTTGGTAATCCAACTAACGACTAAGGTTCGATTTACTTAATGATATTTTTACCCTCTCCCTTCTTCTTTTTTCCTTACCCCACACCTTTACGTCATCTTCCCCCCCCTATTTGTGACCTTGACCCGTACACAGTTTGACCTATGTTGTAATCATCCATGCTGTCTTGCCTTCTATATAACTGTGTATGACAAATACGTGTGTGATGAGAATGTTCGAAATGTATTGCGCAAATACATTACACGTTTCGGATAAACTACGTCTTCTTATTGTTTTGTCGAAATCTGAAATCACTGTGGGAATCTATCGCACTCAACATAAAGAACACGACTCGAATTTTCAACACTAGTTTCAAGCCAATCAGAGCTTCTTTATGCTTCAGAGGCTTGGTACACGCGTCATAAAACGCATTTTCAACCAGCCACTGAAGACTTCTATGAACGACTGACTTCACTCCAGATGGCCGATCAGAAAGGATAAGCAACAAGGAACTCTGGCAACGAACCAACTATGACCTCGTAGCCCAACAGACACACCAGAGAAGACATATTGATTCGGCACCATCAAATGATAGAATCAGTTAGATTATCAGAACATAAGGATTTAGCCAGACCTAGAATGATGAAGCCCGCTAGATCGTAACGGTAACCCAGGATAACAAACGCTGGGGAGACCGTTGAGTTGTATCACGCGCCAAGCCTTCAAGTGGGACCTGAATAGGAAACGGTTAGTAGGGCGTGGGTCCAAGAGTGACATGGAGGAGATCGTGTGAGAAGGAAATGAGAGCTTAAGGGTAATCGTGGATCCAACTGAGAACGACTGAATAGAACGGGATGAAATGGACATGTGCTGTTGATGAACTATGTTCCATTTAGAATCTAAGGGAATAATGATATCACTGCACTTCGTTAACAGTTATTCTACTATGAAATTATACTCTACTATAGCGAACAGACTCTATCCTTACGTTTTTATAACGATGCTGACATTATGTTAATAACCATCCATGCCTCACGTAACTCCTTTGATAAACCTACTTTTTAAAAGAATTTTAATTCATACTACAATTTAATTTCAAATCTTCGAAGTTTTACATTCAATGTGATTTACTAAGTTATTTTTCTAATTATTATGAGTTTATCTATTTACGCAGTTTTTCTTCAAAATGACAACCCAAAAACATATTTTACGATAAGAGATGCTTAATTCTAATAAGATAGTCGTGACAAATTGACACAAATAAGGAGTTTAACCATACATCAAAGGACACCTTTACTTTTTGCTCCATGCATCCTTATTTCACAATATTATACTAATGAACAACAAAACATGCTAAATTCTTATTGTAATTTGATTTATTCATTTGCATGGATTACAACAGTGAAAAAGAGTCAGTCATACTGACTACATATTCCTTTCAAAATTATGGTGAGAGTTACGTGCGGAAAAGGTGTTTTAGTCACCATACTTAAATTCCTATAGTCAGATAGGGTATTGAATTAGACCATGCACAAAGCAAACATTCTACATTTATGTAAGAAACCCATTTCAAATGCATTTATCAATACGTTTACTAAACCTCAGTATTTAACGGGTGCATTCGAAGTCAAGTAAATAACCACTAGTGTAAGTTATACTTTAATCGGAATGTCCCAACTAAGTAGAGAGCTTATTAGATTGGAATATGATGACTACTTCACCTGGCCAAGATGCTCCATCGACTTGTGAAAACTTTTGTACCAGCAAAATATTTGACTATCTACCTAGAGACATAGACTCTTCTCTCCGGCTATAACTGCCGGAAAACAAAGGTAGAATAACTACCGATTTTCAGGCAGTATGTAGAGATATGGCAGCAAAGATGATAGGGTTAAAGATAATTTTGGGTGAGGAAAGCAAAGCATCAAATGAGAAGGATAAACACGTGCTACTCACTTCGATGGGCCAGACAAAATGTGTGGCCGGTTTATGAGGTCACTAGCTGTATATTTGAATCACGTAATGTACATTATATCAAATAAATTAGCTTGAGATACCTGTGCCGCATACTAGAAACAACCACAATAAATCAAAAGAGCTCGAAGTACACAATGGTTGAAAACTATCCACTAACTTTCAGATCTAACCCTACCTTGATTACTGGAAACAACATAACTCCTTATTTTCGGAGACACTGGGCATCACAATTTAACTTCATTTACAGATCTTGTATATTTGTAAAAAACAGTGATTAGACAGATGAATGATAAATTCATGATATCATTAGTGATATCAGTCGAGAAAAAATGCATAAATGACCAGTAACCAGATAGCAATTTCTTCGGGCGCACTACAGAACGTGGGGCAGTGATCTGCAGTCTGCCCCAAAGATTCTGCAGTGCACCCGAAGTCCACCCCCAAGTTTCTGCAACTGACCCTAAGCTTGAAGTACACACTTACAGTTATGCAGTGAACCCTTAGTCGATAGCTATAACAAATACATACCTACTATGAACACAGCTTGTCGACCTATAGTTCTAATAAAATATTTTAAGATATTTCCTTGGTAAATGCAATAACGATTGAATAGCACATGAAAATGAATCGTCTCAAGGAAAATTTTCTTCACTGTTGACGCCTTTTTCTTTCAATAAAATATGACAAACTGTAGACCAACACAAAAATTTATAAACATACCATTTGGCATTATCATCACCGATATCAATAAAAATATAACGCAAACTGCGATGAATGCATGGAATAAATTATTCTCCAAAGGTTGTGAAGGAGGTCTTAAGATTTAAATTAATTTAGATATCCAAGTACCTTGAGAAAGCAACATATACTAAGCACAACCAGATTATGGCCAGCACTGTCAAGGTTCGAGATCGATAAAATACGCCGATTGTGATGTCATCGACCTTCTGTTGTTCGATGAGGGAATTGAAGTACTCTTTGTCAACCTGGGATTCAGACAACAGCCTTCGACGCATGTTTGTTCTCAAGGCCACAAGAGTTGCCTTCAATTCAGCGCTAAGGTCATCTCTCAATATACCTTTTCACAGAGTTGTTAAAACAATAAGATGCTGATTTGTTGATTGAGGATAGAAATCTTGGAGCCTGTGCTAATCCCTTTCCTAGAAAATTTCTCTGCTTGTTCAAACTCTTTTTGAATGAATCAATTGAGGTTACAGACACCACTTCTTCTGGGAGTTGGTTCCAGGAGTTTATGACTCGGTGTGAGAACCAGTGCTCCACATCATTATGGTTTTTCCCTGGCTTTTGAACTCTCTTTCTGTGTTCTCTAAGATTTTCCAACCTGGTGGGAAGGAAAAGAGAGAATAGGTCAGGTCTGTAGTCATTATTTAAAATTTTAAACATTCCAATTAAATCTCCTCTTTGCCTCCAGTACATTAGGGAGAAGAGATTTAAACTGTCTGGTCTTTCCTCGTATGATAGATTAGCCATGCCGGAAATCATACGTGTTGCTTTCCTTTGGACCCTTTTTAAAATATGTGAGTCTCCTCTAAGAAAAGAACCGGTTGCTTGGTTACAGTTTTCCGGTCTCGACCTCACTGGAGATGTATATGAGGAGCTGAACATATCTCTGGTGATTCTATTAAAGGCTCTGAAAATTGCCCATGTGGATCTGAAACTACGTGCAGCCACCGCGCGACAGTGTGCTGTAGTTTTTAAACCGTGACTTACTATGACACTTAAATCCAAATGAGTCTGCACTAATGGGAGTTTTATTCTCTCTAGTTCGTAGCAGATGGGGCTAGCGTGTCCAATGCTCATGGTTGCGCATTTCGTCACGTTGATCGGAAGCATCTGTTTTCTGAACCACTGTAACAATTTGTTGAGGTCTTCTTGCAACGTTCCTGGCCAACACCAACAGCCACAGCAACAACAACAGACAGCAATCAGCATAAATGGAAGGAACCTGAAAGAAACTACCTCCTTTACCTACTTGGGAAGCATTGTTTCAACTACAGGCGAATGGAACTGACGAGGATATCAAAGCAAGGATCGGGAAAGCAAGGCAAGCTTTCATTACTCTCAAGTCTGTGTGGAGGTCAACAGTATTCAGCGTCAAAAATAAGATCGGGATTTTCAACTCCACTGTGAAGTCAGTACTACTATACGGATCAGAGACTTGGCGTGTCACAAAGAGCACCTCAAACAAACTACATACCTTCATTAACAGATGTCTTCGCTCAATACTCAAGATGAGATGGCCGGAAAGGATCAGCAACAAAGATCTCTGGGAGCGAACCAACCAGGAACCGATTGTGAAACAAATATGCAGAAGGAAATGGAGATGGATTGGCTATACTCTGAGGAAACCGTCAAGTGACACCACTAGACAAGCCATTGCTCGAGTGGAACCCGAAAGGGAAGCGACGAGTTGGTCGTCCAAGGGTGACCTGGAGGAGATCATGTAAAGAAGAATTGAAAGCGTATGGGCAGACTTGGAGCCAGGTGAAAACTCTAGTAGAGAACCGAACGCAATGGAGACGCATGGCTGAAGCCCTATGTTCCTCCAGGAACTAAAGGAAATAATAATAATAAATAATAATCTTGCAACGAAAGAGTATCACTGTAGCCATTCAGCTCTCTCTAGATTTTTAAGTCATCTGAGTACAGGACCGTTGGCGAATCCGCGAGCATAGATAACTTATTAATGTGCAAAATAAATAAGAGAATCTCGAGTACCGTGACTTGTGACGCTCCCCCACGCACTTTTGTCCTGTGTGAGAGTTTCGAGTTGAACCTGACCCTCCGCCTTTTACCTATGAGGAATTCCCTAATCCAGCTCAGTAAGCTGCCTTTGACACTAAGACTTTCCAGGTACATGGAGAGTCTTTTGTGAGGAACTTTACTGAAGGCTTTGCTGAAATCTATGAAGACAACATCGACGGGTCTTCTGTTGTAGCTTGATTTGACCCAGCTTTCTCCTGCAGTGAGAAGATTCGACAGGGATGTGAGGTTTCCACAGAAGCCATGCTGTGCTCTGGATAACAAGTTGATGTTTTCCAGGTATGCCATGATACTTTCCTTGATGATTCTGTAAGAGACTGGAAGTGTGTCTTGAAGGGAGTTGTATTTTACACAAATGAAATATCAGTTTTAATAAGTGAGGATGTTGTACAACTTATCTGGTGCCTCGACTGGGTAGTGAGCTCGAAGTGTGCGCTGAATGGTTGCACAACAAGTGAGCGAACCACGTGTGTACAGCCACGTCGGAAACCACAAGATGGTGTGGCGCCAAAAGTGGGCGAATGCATCAAAACAAAAATTCAAATATTCAAGGTACACAACAGGTTATCTTCCTTTCTCTTTCCGAGTAAGGACTTCGAAAAGTCCGTTATATAGAGGTTGTACGGGCTTACGCACAGCGTCATGACGCACGAAAACATGTGTGCAAAGATCTAGTCGAGTATCTACGTGTACTTTCGTGTTTTGAGCGCGTATGGAAATTGGTCGAATTCGCTGCACAAAGCATTTAAGACTTTGGACATTACGGATCACAACAGTGATGTTTAGCTCAAAAGTTTTAGGAACGACAAGCTCACCCGGTAAGCGGAGAGTGGTGCCATATACCAATTCATCTGAGGTGCGCTGAAGATCCACCTTGAGTGTTGAACGGATGATGAGTAGGACCAGAGGGAGAGACTTTGTCCACCTGCTGCTATCTACTGCCATCGGCGAGGCCTTCATTTGGCAATGAAATCGCTCTACTAGTCCATTTGCCGATGGGTGATACGCAGTTGTCCTGATGCGTTTGCGTCCCAACATCTCCAAAAGCTTCTTGAAACCTGTTGATTCAAATTGTTGCTCACGGTCAGTAATCACTGTAGAAGGGCATCCGAAATGCACAACCCATCGTTCCATGAAAATGAGGCAGATGGTTTCAGCCGTTACGTTTGAGATAGGAATGACTTCTAGCCAACGTGTAAAATGATCAACACACACCAGCAAGTACGAGTAGCTATTTAAAGGGGGTAGTGGACCAACGATAACCAGATGTACATGGTGCTGCAAAAGACCTAGTCGGCGTGATGTTGTACTTGGTAAATTTAGAGCGTTGGCACTTCACACAATCACGCACCCAGTTACGCAAATCACGGTTTATACCAGGCCACACAAATCTGGCCAATATCAACTTGTGAAGACAGTCAAAAAAGTTGAGACGTAAGGACATGGGAACAATAGGTCGAAGAGTGCCTGTAGATGTATCACATAGTATAGTCGCTTCATTGTTCACCAGACGGACACGTTCTATCCTCAGAAAGGTCCCTCATGATAGCTTTTCTAAGTCTAAATCCGCAAGCTGAAGTTCAGCCATTTTATTAGGGTCAATGGTTGGTAGTACTGACATAGTGCATACTTGAGACAAGTCATTTGCCACAAGGTTGTCAGCCCCGGAAATGTGCTGAATGACAGAAGTGAACTGTGAAATATAGTCTAGGTGACGTAATTCACGTGGAGAGTACCTGTCTGTGGTTTCGCGAAGGTCATACGTTAGCGGCTTATGGTCTGTGTATACCCGTGATTTGCAGACCTTCGACGAAGTGTCAAAAGTGCTTGATAGCAGCATAGATGGCGAGGAGTTCTCTGCTTCGGCTGCGGACAACTTCCGTGAGAAAAACGCGATTGGTATTCATGAGGTACGCACCTGTTGCTGTAGTACAGCTCCAATGGCTGTGTTAGATCCGTCAACAGAGATGCTGATCAGAAGCTGGACTTCTAGATGGACTAGCACGGCTGCATCCACAATCGCCGTCTTAATTTTCTTGAACGCTTCTGGAGCCTCCGGTGTCAAGCTAAGTGTCTTGCACTTGAAATTTCTAGATCACAAGTTACGCAATATGATTGTAAAATATTTATTCCTGTCTATGTAAGGACAAACCAGTTTTAGAGGCTTGGAACAGTATCATTTGAATTATATAAATTAGGTTCATAGTGGATTTGCATGGTTACTGTCCTTTATAACTTTGGTTTGTGAGAACAATCTGCTAACTACTCATTCAATGGATCACATTACGAAATAAAGGAATATCGTCTTCGCATTAACAAAAACCCAAGTCTGTAATAGACAGATCACAAATACCTGGAAAAAAGATCTTGATGTCAATTATTGTTATATTTCTCCCAATTAACTTTGCTGTTTATGACACTGAATCTTATTCTTGATTTATAATCAGATGGTGCATTGATTTAAAATGAGTTATATATTTGTATTGTTCTCTCAGCAGTGTCATCGTAGGGTAACATGCAGATGAGTGCCGGCCAAAGCCAAGCAGATTTGTTTTACTTCACCAGAAAGATTATTACTCTCCAAAGTTAACCACTGCCACTGCATGGTATTCTGCAGGCGTAAGTTGATTGAGCAATAGAAAACTGCTTGTATGCCAATATTATCTTTATTTTGGTCATGGACACTAATCGTACAAAATGTTATTCACCGTGCTACTATTTTAACACGTGGGGTTTTAGGGATGTTGAGTTATTACCAGCCAACAGCTTGCGGAATGCTGTGGCATTTGCACGTTGGTGGACTCAGGCCTCCTGCAACTTCAGTCTTACTACTGGTCTGCGCAACTTCCTCTACAATGCAGGTAGCGGAGAAAAGGCGAGCAACCAATCACTAGAAAAAGACAAAGTATGTGCACACAAATAGAAATTTAGTGTTAGTATATATACGTGTTTATATTTGTTGTGCATTGCTGCCTAGCGAACATATATATATTGATATTTTCCTAGTCTTTTTACACCTCTATGCGGCTAGTCCATTTATCTCTTATAGAGTATTTGGTGAAGTTTTCCCCTTTTTGTGGATACTACAGTAATCTAACAGTTGATTCGCCCTAGAAATAATCTTTTAATGTAATCAGTAGAATCAAAGTCTGTATAGAGAGCGTCTGTAGCTTATAATAGAGGTTCAGTTTCTGTTCCATATATCAGAATACGTAACTGTGAAGAAGTTTTCGAAGAGTGATGATTTAAGGGCTTTAATTGTCACTGTGCAAGTTCCGTTA